TTGTAAGATATGATTTACATTCAGCCAATACAATTACAAACCACTAAATTAGGCCTATAATGTTTACTAGATCTAGATCTAAGCCTTGCCTGTTGCATATATTGCCAATCTTGCACACCAGTTAATATGTTACATCAATCTCGTATTTTTGTTGTTGTTGAACATACACTTACTTGTACGTTGTACTCTAGCACTTGTATTTGATCTACAGATGAATGATGTAATAGTGTAATTTACTTCTGTACGTCAATTCGGTTTCACTGTATTTCAGTGAGCGGCTTTAAGAAGTTAAAACTGCAAGCGCAATACACACAAACAACGTAACACTGTATCGTATTTACTTAACGTAGGGCAGTTGCGCTATATCCTAGGGGAAGGCATAATTATTAATTGATAGGTATTATAGACGAGAGGAAATTTTACGCCCCTTCACACCTGTGCCTGTGGGCGACTGCCCTCCTTGCTCCCTTCTTGCTACGCCACTGACAACAAGGTTTCATATGATATAGTTTATTAGACAACTGCTCTGACCACTTCACACAACACTATTCACACAATGAAAACAGACTTGCTATCACTGTTTGAATGTATGGAGAATATGCTTGATAAGAAAAGGGACGAGTTTCTACAACAGGGTTTTCATGTGATATAGTTCAACAGACAGCTGCTCTGACCACTTCACACAATGTTTACACAAAGGAAAAGAGGCTCATTATTATTTCTAATGGTGTGAACGCCTTTTCCTAGCTGTTGATTTGTGATTATAATTAATGATACTTGTCTTAAAACATCGGGCCTAATAGTCTTTATCTAGTTCCTTGGGATTTCCAAAAATTAGAAGAGTTTACAATAATAGTATTCCAACCATACTAAGCAAACATAGGTCTAATACTAATATAATTAGTATTATAATTAATTATACTTACTATCACTATTTTAAGGTATCCGTAGGGACAATTTAAGTTTGATGGAGGCACGGGGCTATTATATTTTTAAGATCCCCTTTTTGCACACTCATTTTCTTTCCTGTAAATTTTTCTACCTGCCATGCCCGATCCTAAACGCTCTGCTGGTAACTTACCTTGGTTATTTCAGTGTCGGTTTTTAAATGTGATAAACCAATTGTAAATCTTCTCCAACTGAATACGACTTGGTAAAACAGCCGTGTTGCTTCAAGTCCTAAGTATGCTAAACAAATGTTCCATCTACTTGGTTTTATTTCTAAACAATAATTTATTATCTCTTCGTCGTGGCCGATTCATTTTCATGTAATACTTTTCTGTCAAATTCCACACTCACTTTACTTTTTTAATATTTTATTTCTCTTTCATTCTGTTTTTATTTTACCACTTTATTTCGTCTTTCCTCTGATATTGCTCACCATTTTCTTTTAACTTCAAATATATTTTATTTAGAAACGCTTCTTTATGGATCAGCTACTGTAATCTTGGCATAACATAGAATTATCTTAAAACTGACTATACCTTAAACTGAATTAATATTAAATAATCTCAAGCTAGTCCTAACGCAAAATATTTATTTATAGTTTACCATGTGATTCCTGGTTTATTTATATATATGTTAAACTTGTTATTTTATTTTATTTTTTTCTATATACATTTAGCATTTTCCAATTATTGTTTCATTGTTGTCATATATTATATTATTTTGTCTTTTGATGGTTAAAATAATAAAATATTCTGAAATAGAACGCTACTATATAAACATTTCATAGCTGGCAGGGTTTGTTTGCCCCCGGAAGCATGGGGACTCAGATTGCTAAAATCGGATTTCAAACCTTGCATTGGTGACAGTGCAGATAATCATAGTTTAGCTGTACCTTGACAGTAAAATAAACGAACATTTGGACTATCGACAAGGAAAAATGAGTTATTATGTTTTATTTGTATGATATGACCAATATATATATATATATATATATATATATTGTTTAGTTAATCTCATTTGAGATAAGAAACCACCAATCAAGCATCACTAAATCAGCAATGATACAATAACTCTCATGGCACAGAAGTAGGGAAATCATGATGTTTTTCTATGTTTCTATTTAATCTGCACCTATTTTGAGCTTTATCCTTCTTGTACTTTCCTAATCTAAAATATTTACTTTTTCCACTTCATTCCTCGTTAAACTGACGTGTGGCTTTAATATTTTTGACAATCATGTCTCTCTAAACCAAAAATAAACATTTTTTATGCATTTTAAGTTACATTAAAGTTTGATTGCTTCCTTATTTAGTGGGGATTACGGTGTAATGGATTAGTTGCTTGGAGTTCATGTTTTGTTCACCAACACATGAAAACAAAATTCCAGTTTATGCGAAAATAGAACCTATGCTATTAAGAACATGGAGCATGATTTGCTAAGCAAATTTTCCTGGAAATGATGAAAATCCTCGTGAAATCTTAGGCTTTTCAACTTGATGCGCATTTTGAATTGGCTAAGCTTGGAAAACTCGCATGTGACAACTTGTATTCACTGAGTGACGTCTTTGATTGTGAAAGACTGAATTAGGAATTTACAATGATACATTCCATTTTCCTTTCGAAACCTCAACAGTGTTAACATTGCCTTGAATTAGTTCAGTATAGTTTGAAGCTTATACAATTTTGACGAGATTAACGTCGGCTGAACCATAAATGGTGTAAGAATAATTCACCAATCTTAGAATATTTTCAGGAATATAAAGTATTTACTGGAACATTCTAAATTATTTTGATATATGAATCGCCTGACTTCGTATAAATTAATTGCTAAGGCTGTCGTTGTTTAATTACTGAAGGGCAATAAATGTACGCCTTTCGTGAACCTGTTTGTATGTATATTTCATAATTACCTTTATTTTACCGCAAGAAGACTGTCGTTGTTTAATTACTGAAGGGCAGTAAATGTACGCCTTTCGTGAACCTGTTTGTATGTATATTTCATAATTACCTTTATTTTACCGCAAGAAGACTGTCGTTGTTTAATTACTGAAGGGCAGTAAATGTACGCCTTTCGTGAACCTGTTTGTATGTATATTTCATAATTACCTTTGTTTTACCGCAGGAAGACTGTGGTTGTTTAATTACTGAAGGGCAGTAAATGTACGCCTTTCGTGAACCTGTTTGTATGTATATTTCATAATTACCTTTATTTTACCGCAGGAAGAATGTGGTTGTTTAATTACTGAAGGGCAGTAAATGTACGCCTTTCGTGAACCTGTTTGTATTCATATATTATTGTTTCTATTTCTATGAATCACTATCTTCTCTTTAATGCTACCTTTACATTCACGCAGGAAGGATGTGACAAGGTGTACACCAGCACTTCAGATGTTCAAGTGCATGGAAATTGTCATCGAAAAGATTCGGCCATTATTCGGGAAGGTTTCCATAGGTATCGGGCCACTGAAGATTGCGGCTCTTATAACTGCCCTTTCGGTAGCCAGAGAACCACTCACTTTCACTGTAGACGTCCAGGATGTAGTTATACCTTTAAAAACAAGTCTGATATAGGTTTGTTCTCTATTATATTTTTATTCGTTCATGAACAAGTATCATAAACACATCTATGTTTCTAAAGAAATAACGAGTAGACTTAAAAATGTTATTGAAAAAAAAAAGAACAAAATAACACAGTTCACTTAATTTAAAAAAAGGGTGAATTAGTAAATGGATAGATAGATGAATAAGTAGGTGGATAGACAGATCATTAAGTAGGTGGATAGACAGATCAATAAGTAGATGGATAGATAGATCATTAAGTATATTGATAGACAGATCAATAAGTAGATGGATAGACAGATCAATAAGTAGATGGATAGATAGATCAATAAGTAGATGGATAGATAGATCAATAAGTAGATGGATAGACAGATCAATAAGTAGATGGATAGACAGATCAATAAGTAGATGGATAGACAGATCAGTAAGTATATTGATAGACAGATCAATAAGTAGATGGATAGACAGATCAATAAGTAGATGGATAGATAGATCAATAAGTAGATGGATAGATAGATAGTTAGGCCTAGCATCTGACATACCCAAATACTAAAGAGATAGATGGATTGAAATATAGAGAGATAAATTGTTTGACATCAATATACCATTTTGTGTACGGTTAGATGTTTAAAATCACCTGTATCTTTTACAGAAAAACACAAAGCTTATCACATTAAAGATGAGCAACTGATCAGAGATGGCTTTAAAAAGTTTATGAAACATGTTCACTGCACGTTCAGTAATTGTAAGTTCTCTCGGGTCTCTAACCACATCCACTGTATCAGACCAGGTATGTAACATTTTTTATACTGGTTGTATTATAAACTGATTAATCTGCTGTTGATGTGCTCAGCTTTAATCTGAAAACAATAAAATTTCTAAATAAAAAACTATAGAATTTTCGAAACAGTTTTGACCGTGGTGATAATGTCTAGTATTTTGCATGAGATAGTTAAATTATTATATTAAAAGATACAATGAAATCGTTTACGTAATTAAAATCCAAATCTTATGTGTGTTTTGTATAATACAGTAACGCAATAATTATGAATCATTTACTAGGTGTTGAAATATGTAGAAAATGATATATTTTACATTATTATACAAGTTACCCATGGAATTTTTTATCATCGATTAAACTACTGGATGACAAAGGCATAGAAATATTTTAACTATCAATATTTCTGTTTTGTAAAACACTGCTCCCAATTAGCCATTAACGTCTTTCGTAGCATTTCAGCTTCACTTTGTTTGACAGAGGTCACTGCTCAGCAAAAAGTCTGGGGGTAATAATTGAAAATCAAGTTTCGAGACCCACGGTGGGCCGAACACGGAATAGCCCATCGAGTAGCTTTGCATAACACAATATGAATATATGGCGTCGTCAGTTGTATTTCTGAGTGGTCTTCACTGTCTTCACACCTTCACTGTGCTGATGTGTACTCTTCAAACTGAAAATCCAGAAGAGCCAATTAAACGTTATTTACAAATAGATGTACATTTTATTTATTTATACACTTTTAATGCAAATGAATGTTTAGTGCTGTTCCCCTGTCCCGCTAAATTTAGTAATCACAAATTCTCAAGTTTTCTTAGTGTTCATGTTTAAAAGCGATACTTTATAGCTGATATTGTATAACAAAAACCACATTATAACCAATTACAGACTGCAGCATCGACCAGTAGCAACTTTTATTAAGATAATTATGTTGGTGTTCTCGAATGAAATTTTTTGCTGTTGTAAGGGTGAAAGTGGGATTGATTTAGATTTGTCTGTTTGTACACACACATTGCCCCTCACTCAATGCATGTAACACTGTTGTGTGTGGCATCATTATTGGCATGTAAGTATGCTGTTAAGAGATTGTATTGTTAGAAACTCCAGTTCTTAGTCCTAACATACAACTTCGTTATCTAGAGTTTTATGTTCAATATTACAATAATTTTAACCACAATTCGAGACTCTATTCCTTCTTGTATTAGTTGTAGATCTCGAAAACTTACCTCCAGGATATTTTTCGAGATTAATATAAAGTAAATGAAGAAGTAACCCAAAACCCAAGAAAGGTGTTGAAGTTAGTACGATATAGCATTTCTACTATTATACTATGTGTCTTTCAAGATATTCAAACACGTTTAAAGCTTCAAAAGCATTTCTAAAATATAAGCTAGTGATTTTCTTTAATTTTACAATCATACTCGCCGCATCAAATGTTCTTCAATATTTACTTGTTTTCACTTCTAATTATACTAAGTAGAGACGCAGAATGTCGTGAATATGCATACTTATATCGATATTGTCTGACTTTTCAGGTATTAATTTTGTACAGCATATTTTCTAAAATATTGATGGAAAAAAATAACATCATTCCTGAGGTCAATTATTCCAAGATTCTAGAACGTCTAAATTCACATATATATATATATGTTTACTCCAAAACCGTTAATATGAATTAAAAAAAATACAAAAAAAACTAACAATTCTGTAAGCAGTTATATCCATTGTGGCACGTTTCTTTCCTCATTTAGACATCATTATAGTTATGTTAGTTTCTACATTTCCAACTGAAAGGATTATTGTAATACATATTATCCTCATATTAAATGGCTCTTTTTATTTAGCTGAAATAAAGTAAACCAAACGATTATTTTCTTTTTTTTTTTTTACAGGATGCACATATGTTTTACATTCTACAGGGCAACTTTATTCACACAAAAGAAAACATGACAGAAAAGAAAGTGATCTCCTCCAAAGAAAGTTCAGTCAAGTCCAAGGCATATCCAATACTTCGGTACCCGACCAGGTTAATGTAACTTACCTATTATTATTTTACTTTATTTACAAACAGATACAGCCTCCCCTGAGTTACAGATTTTTCTCTCTATATATTTAATGTTTAGCTAGTGAAAAATAAAGACAGGAAACAGTTTATGTTTATGAACTTCTGCTAAGCGAACGTCAGCAGACGAACTACTATTCAGAGGAAGACAGAACGACTCAGCTTATAGGAATATTTTTCTAATTTCGTTTGATCTTAGAGAGGATGAATTACTACAATAACATCAAAATTTTTACATTCTACTATTGGATTCAAAACTCTGTACCTGGAGATATAACAAGATAATGTTGAGTAGGTTCTTCCCATCGTTCTATTATACCCTCCTGTTTAAGCTGTTGAGTAGACTATTTTCATCGCTCTCTTATACCCTTCTGTTTAAGCTGTTGATTACGTTCTTTCAGTCGCTGTATTATACCCTGCTGTTTAAGCTGTTGAGTAGGCTTTTACGTCGCTCTTTTATTCCCTCCTGTTTAAGCTATTCAGTAGTTTCTTTCAGTCGCTCTGTTATATCCTTCTATTTAAGCTGTTGAATAATTTTTTTGTCGCTCTGTTACACCTTTCTGATTAAGCTGTTGAGTTGGTTCTTTCAGTCGCTCTTTTATATCCTCCTATTTAACCTGTTGAGTAGGCTTTTTTCGTCGCTCTGTTATGACCCCTGTTTAAGATGTTGAGTAGTTGTTTTTTCGTCACTTTGTTATACCTTTCTGTTTAAGCTAATGAGTAGGCTTTTACGTCGCTCTTTTATGCCCTCCTGTTTGAAATGTTGAGTAGTTTATTTTAATCGTTCTGTTATACCCTCCTGTTTAAGCTGTTGAGTAGTTTCTTTCAATCTCTCTGTAATATCCCCCTGTTTAAACTGTTGAATAGTTTCTTTCAATCGCTCTGTTATATCCTCCTGTTTTTTGATTCGATGTTTTACCGTCACCCTGTTATATCATCGTGTTTAAGCTAATTGAACAACGCAAGCTAAAAAATCATTCGGCCAGTTAGCATACAGATGTAGTAGTGTACCTATCTGGTTTTATACGTCGACTGCTGTAATCATATCGTGTGATAACCCACGATGTTTCAAGAAAACGACTGAGCGAAACGTTCAGTATAAACTTGTCCAACGGTCAAGAGTCCGAGCCCAAATAACAGGCAACAAATCTGAGTGGCCGAATATTTTGAGGGAGATTATACAGTGAATTATACAATTCTTATGTATTAACGTAGATCACAATATGAAGACCATGCAATGTCTTTACAGAATTTGTAATAATTTTAATTGTCTAGCCTGCTTTACAGTATACTGCCTTTTTACTTCAACTTTAATAAATATATTTTTGCCTTGTAGATAATGTTTTCTGAGTCTGAAAAGACATGCGTGTCTCACGACATTACACGACACATAAACTGAACCTAGAAAGAGAGAAAAAAAAGGGAATTTCACAGTTTTTAAGAAACATAAACCAGTGAACGAACTAAGTTAGTCAGGATATCTTCTCGTTCACGATATGGTTCTGAACAATAGTGAATAGTAGATACTCATAACATATCATTATAAACTTTCTATAGTGCTTGGATTATTCAGTCAAGAAATTTAATTGATTCTGAAATTTTGTTTTATTTTTTCAAGCTTTTATCAGATGACATTCACTCTAACCCTGGTCTGCCCCCACCTCTCATCAGTGGGTTACATGTGACACTAACCTCCCCGTTATCAATCCAGTTCGGTCCAACTTGCAACTACCATGGACAAGTGGCAACTGCTATCGCCACCAGAAGTGAAGGACTAGAGTCGACTACTCTTACAGCCGGAAGTGAAGGAATAGTGACGACTACTCTTACAGCCGGAAGTGAAGGACTAGTGTCAACTGCTATCTCCGGCGGAAGTGCCAGCATATCTCAATCTATTCGAAATAACTGTGCCACTCAATTATCGAAGTTTGATGCAATGCTGACGGAAACCAAACTTCTAACTTCACTTAATTATGCCACTAGTTTACCCCATTCTCCATTCCACTTACCAGATAGCACCACTTTAATAAATCAAACTCAAGACGCAGTAGCTATATATCGCACACTACTAAAACAGGAAGGGGATGAGTCTTGGAAGGAGTATATAAAGTTGTAAGTGTAAAAAAAAATATTTCATGACGGAATTTTGAAATATGAGGTGGTTAAAAACATTTAGAGACACTTCCAAGAAAAATTCTAAAACATATTTTTTTCTAAACTATTACTTACGTTATTTACACTAAATCATTTATGGGTCCAGAACTTTATTACAGATTCCCTACTATAAAATTTAAGTAAAAACACCATCAGTATTGTAATCAATCCTACTAATTATGTGTTTTTTTATTGTAAATGAATTATTTTACATACTTTTTTGGTCAATTCTTTACACTGTGAGAGACGTAACAAGCAAAAACAAAATTACCCAATGCGATGCAATATGGGAACTCCAGTGATAGTTAACGGCATAAAAACAAGTCAGTAGCTGAGAGTTAATAACAATACTACCCAAATACAACCGTTGACTGTTGAGATTGCGACAACTACATTTTGCTTACGATGTACTTATCTCGACATGATACAAGGTTAGAAAGTTGTGATAGCTATAAGGGATAAAATATATGTAAATTATTTAAAATATAACGTATTGATAAATGTCAAGAAAAAAGAGCAAAATCCTTTAGATTTTGGTAACTTTCATGAAATGCTTCCTGATTTTTACTCTAAATAATAGTTCGTGTATATTGCTTGATTTTGTAATTCTTGTCGTAAGCATTTTCTCATTTGCTTTCTCATTTTCATGTTTAAACTTTGATCTTTCAAACTTTATGGGTTACCAACATTACGCCCTCTTTTAACAAACGATTTCATTATAATGTCCAGAAGTCTTATTGGATGTATTTCTGTATGGTTATAATACAATGAAGTTTGTTTTATTACAAATTTCAAATAACTGTTTTTATGGTTGAGTTCTAAAAAAATATGTGTTGAAATATAAGTGGATATATATTTTATTTCTATATCAAACTTGCCGTTTGTTCTATTACGACATATTTTTTTATGTTTAAAAGGTACACTGTAAAATAAGTAATAATGTATTTCAATATCTCGAAGCCACTAAGTGACCAAAACATAATGACGATTTCTTTAAAATATTCTTTTACTTTTTGAGATACGACTTGAACGAATGTACCATGGCCCAGTGCGATGAAGAATCTAGAGATCACTACCACTGTTTCACAGATAACTGTTGCTTGTGCTTCAGAGCTACGGAATTTAACCGTGTACAGGAACATGCAAGGTTGGTGGTTGAGTTACATACAGTTATGGCATTAATAGATAAATAAAAAAACAAAAACAAAATCTGAGCACTTTCAGAAAGTAGATCTTCCTTCTTCAGGGATGAAATAAAGAAGGCAAATTACAAGCCCACTGGTTATTAGGTTTGAAAAGCTTACAGTAATGTGTCTAAGAAAAACAGTAAAGAAGACAAAATAAAGCTTCTAACCCTTGGAAACATCTTTTATATCATTACTAATTTCTCTACATTTTCGAACAACTGTAAGGTCTGTATGCATGTATGTATGTATGTATGTATATATATATATATATGAGGGCTAAATTAATACAATATACCAACCAGTAAGTGTGACTCATTAAGAAGGCCTGTTATAATGTACTGGACGTTGCCAGATAGTATTGTTGAAGTATATATAATCTCCTATTTTCAGAAACCACGGACTTCAGGACCTAATAACAGAAATGCACTACGTGACGGCAAAACCAGGAGACGATTCGAGATGTCCACCTGGCTGCAATTTAAGCAGTGAAACACACTACCATTGCATCTGGGTATGTTTCTCAGTCTTGTTTTATCTATGCGTAGTTTACAGGAAAAAAAAAACTCTACATAGTCACCCACTAATTCAATAGACACCCACTCCACAAAGAATGCCGTTTTATATATATATATATATAAACATGGTAGAAAAAGGATATAATATTAATATTAGTTAGCGGATCTGACCTTTGCAATAATTAAATCGGGAACACGGTTACACATAGTACTTACAAGCTCTGAAATCTGGCCAACTGGAGTTGCATACTATTCTTGGCGAATACCTTGAATATGAGTGTCCTTAGAAAATGTTTATTTAAGATACTTGCATAGAACGACAACAAATTCACCAAACATTTTCAAAAGTGTTCTCATCCGGCAATTGGTCTGGCCATGGGAGAGTGGTAATATCATCTGTGATACCTAATGTTGTCGATGTACGATATTGTCTGGAGTGAGTAGTGGATTCCTTACAGATACTATACCATTATATCTCATGCTATGAAGATAACTTCTAAAGATATTGGGGAATATTTAAACTTGTCCTGAAGCGTCTTTTTGATCATTATTCACAGAATTAAAAGTCCATTCTATTGGTCTAGGGAACCTGGTCGTACTGAAACTGTTGTTTTCTGACAAAACTAAAACTGCATTGGCCAATATCCACTATTTACCGTGAATAGCGGTATTGCAAGAGACCTGGTGATTTTCTTGCTGACTTTGACCACCTTCTCTTCGTCTAACTATGCCACCTCGTGAAAATACGGTTCATTCTCTGGATCCATTCGTATGTCGTATAGCTGTTTTTTTGTTTTTGTGGTTTTTACCGAGATATGTGGATTTATATAGTGAAATTATTTGAATATTACTTCACGTAAATGATTTATTTGTATTCTCGGAGATGTGTGTATAGCAAGTATAAATATATTTATATATATTCGCCTGATTTGATTTTTATTAAAAGAAAATTAAGCATTCGAAATTTAATCCTATTAGAAATATCACTAACATTTATTTACGGATGTTTGGAAAATCTCCAAAAGTTCGTTCTACAGAGCTGATTATTAAAAGTAATCGTTTTTTTTTCTTTTTGAATAGGAGGGATGTCAAGCGGTGATCAATGGTTTAGATCAACCATTTCAAAGACTTGACCATTACAAGACTCATGAATACTCTTACAATCCGAAAATTTATAAGAATCAGTATCCAGGAAAGTGTATTTATTTATCATTTGGACAATCCACACGGAAAAGGGGGCGACCTCCCAAGAACAATCTATTGAAAGTAAGCAATTCTTAAAAAATATTCATTTTTTATACGGCGTTATCTGTTGTTAGTCTTTTCCAATAAAATTTAACCATAAATAGACTAATAGCATTTAATCGAAAAGTAGAAACATTATCAGTCATTAATTTAAATTTTCAAGTGTCTTATTGTTTCAGTTATGTATTTTTATTAAAAGCATAGAGAAAAAGGCGAGCATACAGTTAGTTCTACAAACATCAAATCATTGATGAAAGAGAGAGAGAAAGTTGATAACTAGTTCAGCCAGGCATACAAACAGAAACACACACAAAGTTATGAACATATAAACAGGTAGGTAAACATGTTAAAACACTGACAAGATTTTACTTGGAAATAACAAAATTCTTCTTTTAGAAAAAGATATTTTTTTCTATTTTGTAGTGTTCTGTTTCCTCTTCATTTTCACCAAACACCAATTTACCAATTGCCATAACAACCACTAACGAAAATTACCCAGTCCAGACTAACAATAATGACCAGTTTCATGGTGTCTTCAACGTATCACCACTGACAACCGTCGCCAATATCACTTCTATTACAACATCAAAAGCTTCGAACCAGGTGTACTCTCCATCTCAGACTTCTTCTTCTTCGCTATTAAAGACTAATACATCTCAAAGCTCAACGTCTGTGACTCCTCAGTATTCTGCTAGTGGACAATCGTCATATTCCGAAGTAGGTGTTTTTGAGCATCCATTGATACTTTAGGAAGTATGTTAATGAGCTTACCTTGTTCTAGACTAGCTGGAGTATTCGTCCATTGAACGGTTGGAATAAAAACTCGTTTGTAACAAAGGATAGGAAGTTATGCTTCTATTTATTTTCTTAACATAATAAACATTAAAAGTGCCATAAAAATACATAAAGGTTCCAATACTGAGAAGAAAGACGTACTATTTTCAAAAGTTCTAACAACAGTGGTTACATAGCTCACTATAATGCTGAGGGATATACAACAATGGTAGTTTTCTGAAATTAGATGGGGTATACCCTTTACGTTTCTGCAAAACATCAATTCACTTTGACACTCCCGCAAGGCGCCAATCTCCATATTACTAATTGTAACTTATTCCATAAGATAACAGCACTTTTTTAACGAGAACCATTTCTGTGTTTTCCAATACTTAAGTTTGTGTCTTCTCGTCTTATTGTCTTCAGGATAGAACACAAGAAATCAGAGGCATTACTCCTCTGAATCTCTTGAATAATCTTGTAAACTTTAATATTTTCGCATCTTAACGTTTTATTCTCAAGAGAAAGTAAATTAAGAGATATAAATATATTTCCATAAGACACTCCTTCCATTTTAGTAGCTCTTCTATGAGACCTTTCAGTACATCAATCTTAAATATCATCAAAACTGTATACGAATATATAACTAATTTCCTTGCCTTGTAATCAATATATCTATCAACCTCCTAAAATTCTTTTAGGTATACAATCCGTAACTAAGTACTGCCTCGGTGGATTCAGTGACTTATCTACTATTGTAACAAAATCCTATTCCTCAGTCACACTGTTGAGTGGGTTCTCATGTTTATTAAACATGCGATCAAAGTTATGTTAACCTAAATGTATTACCTTGCACATTTTATAATTAAAGACATACATTCTGTATTTGTATGATTTACTTATGAAACACAACTGGATGTATTTATAAGTAAACTCGCATTTACAATAATACAATATATTTAAACCTGTTAATGAATGGCAGAAGCTTTCTATTTCTTTCTTGTTTAGTCAGTAAATCACTCATATATCTCGTAATATATTTCCAATGCAGTTTCACTGTTTCTTTTTTTTCAGAATCTATGTGAATTTGTTGCCTACAACAGAAACAGTCCTTGCCCAGACCATCTTTGTTTGTACTATGGTCAACATCACTTCCACTGCGTCCACCCTCGCTGTTATTTCGTCACCAACTGTAGCAATGCCCTATTTCTACACTCCACGGATTTCCACGTCAACTTTGATATTCTGGAAGATTTTCTTTTCTTTGACAGAAATGTGGACTGCCGTTTATCAAGTTGTCCTAGCAATAAGTTCACTCGTCATTTTCATTGTGCTCGGCCCGGCTGCTTCTATTCTTTCGTTCGTTACAGTAGCATGAGTAAGCACGATGAGAAACATAGAGAGTTGATCATCCCGAGCTCAAGTGAGGATAAACAGAATGGACAGAAAGTGAAGCCTGAGCTGGAGTTGGCTTGTAATTCTAACCCTGAAAACGTCAATATTATAACTAGTAGTGAAAGTTTCGCTAAAACAGCAGACACTTTTACAAACAAAACTACTGTTGTCAAAGCAAGAGGTACATATTATCCTTTGTCAGCGTTTTATGAACAAAACCAAAACTCGAAGGCAAGCATCGCGGGTTTACCTGTTTTACCAGTGAGCAATACCAGCTATCAAGATGTGGACACCTCGCAAAGTTCATGTACTGAACAACTATCTACTCAACCGGCAGGACACCCAGCAACATGTACGGAACGGAAAAACGTCTTGCTTGCCAGTAATTGTGGTTATCCATTCTGTCAGAATAAGAAGGAACATTTTCACTGTGGTATGTGTAATCAAGTAAGTAACATTCATGATGCTAGAAAAATACGTAGGTTCAAGAAGTCTTGATAGAAATGAATAAAAATCCTATAACCCGAGCGCTTTTGCCCCTGAAGAAGAAAGGTCCACCTTTCGAAAGCGCTCGGGTTTTAGGGTTTTTATTCATTTCTATCAAGTAAGTAGCATAATGTCCTGTGCTATACGTTTTCTTCTTATCCAGTTTTCCATTGAATAAAACCAAGTATGTGATATTCAACATCTAGTCTTGTCGTATACGCCACTAAAATATATTTTCTCTGCTTTATTGTTTTCAGACTTTCTTCTTTACTTCTGACGTAAAGACACACATCTGTGAGCATCTTAGCGGTTTCATCGCGGTACTTTCTTCACGCGACGTGGAAGACCCGGTCGAACAAGATGATAGTAGTGGTGACAACCTGAAGAAGTATCGAATAGAAGGTTGTTTTAACAATGATCAACGAGCCACGGAGGAAACCCGCATATCACAACAAGGCTGTGTTGAACAAAGCAGTCAGTTAATGTTGTCTGGTGTAGTCTCGAAGGATTTAATACCAGTAAACGTAAGTCTGACGGGGAAAGCAATAACAGTTTCCAAAGAGAACTTGCTAAATAGCATGAAACGGTGTGCAGTAAGTAGTTTTGAGGGATACACAGTAGCGAAAAAAGTGAGGTCTCAAAGTTTACATGTCCTAAAGGACGATCCAGTGCCTGAAGGGTATGTTAGGTATCGGTTCAACGAGAACTGTGGTTTTTCTTTCTGTGGCTACAGAGAGCACCAGACTCATTTTCATTGTCTCCGTAAAGACTGTGGATACAGTTTCTGTGACAAGACCCGTTTTGTTCAGCATACAGCTCGTCATGAACGGCTAGACACACTCATGGGCAGTGACTTCCGACAGTTCCGAGTGAATATCAACTGTGGATATCCGGACTGCTCTTATATGAACACCTCAGGTACAATAACCAGCAGGTATGCCCATTTCCACTGTCTTAAGTGTGAGTTCATGTGTTCCGATACAAACAAACTAGTAGCGCATCGCAGGCAGCATGCTAAGCTGGATAATATCAATGCTGCTGGTTTCCGGAAGTTCACTTCATCGCAACAGTGTAACTTTGAAGGATGTACGTACAACCAAAAACAGACTCACTATCATTGCTTGAAATGTCACTGTGCAGTTGTCGGGCTGTCGCAAATTTCATCGCATGGAAATCGCCACATAATCAATGATCTTGAATGAAACATCAAATAATTCATCAGTTTTATTCTTTACAAAATATATTTCAAAACCTGTAGAAAAAACAAAACCACAAATTATGCTGTGCCACCATCTTGTATAATTATCTCACTAAAGTCTGGTGTTTATGGTTTCTACTCTTTACAAATGAAGTTTTACTGACGCACAGCGAGTTCTGGTTCTTTGTATCGTTGTGTCTCGCGTACGAGTGCTAAAACGATAAGATGGATCTGTGTAGCAAAAATAAAATAAAACTTTCACACGCATAAATTCCAAACCTAAATACATAAAGAAAGTTGTCCTGTTACCCATCTATGCATGGTACTACAACGTAAAAACCTAGATAGATAAAGACGTTTGTTATGTTACCCACCTATTCATGATACTACAGTGTAAAAACCTAGATAGATAAAGACGTTTGTTATGTTACCCACCTATTCATGGTACTACAACGTAAAAACCTAGATAGATAAAGAAGTTTGTTCTGTTACCCACCTATTCATGGTGCTACAACGTAAAAACCTAGATAGATAAAGAAGTTTGTTCTGTTACCCACCTATTCATGGTGCTACAACGTAAAAACCTAGATAGATAAAGAAGTTT